TCATCAATATTTTAGTTAGAGTCTGTCATGTAACCTAGTGTTCATAACGGTAAAAAGAAATATTCGAGTTGTTGCTGTTCAAATAACATTTTCTGTTCAGTAAGTTAACATAAGGGCTTAACCAAAATTAACGATAATCGAAATTGGTTGTACACCAGTTGTTATAGTTTGCTTAAGAAACTCCAAAACGTAGGGTGGGATAGTTTTTACCCCTCTCAGACTACTCATTCTCATGACATTCACGCTGAAATTAAACTGCTTTGTGATCAGTTCTACTTTGTATATATTCGTTATTTCACTTGGTAATAATGGTTAATTTTGGTCGTGGGCATTCAAGTCTGTTCGCCTGGAGGCGAAAAGAATTAGGAGCAGATGTAACCTGGATCGTGGATAAACTGGGACATGGCGGTGTCCTTGTCGTCATATGCTACTGGTATACATATTGTAACTACCGAACTACCAGTATTCGGTTTGAACGCAGGACTGAAGAACCAAAACGTATTCGAATAGGCCAGACTACTCTCTTATGTATAGACCACTAAGCGTTTTGAGACACTCGTATTAAATTATATCAAAATACCTCAAACGGTACAGCCTGTGCTATACAGTCAGAAGTTTCTCTAACACAAAGTAGTGCGCTAAACAATAAAAGAAACAGTCAATACCAAAGGATTTGATACCTCAGAATCAACAAATATATTCCCAACAAACGGGATCAAATATCTATCTGCAAGGATTCCAGAAATCCTCCCAAGTAGACATTCAAAAGGTTAACAGTCATACTGAAGCACGACGTGACCTTGAGCTTAGTCAAACACGACCTCACTGTCAATAGTCCGGCAATATGCAATAAAAAATTAGGTAACAAAAAGATAAGTTTTTAATCAAAATCACATAATAAAAGCTCAAACGAGATCTGAACAAAGGTTAAAATATATGACAGGGAGAAGAAACAAATAAATGAAAATACTGTCAAACAAAAAAGGCTGTGAAGGGATTTTCATCGTTCTCTTTCCGTTACACATATGAAAACGATCTCTTACAGGTAAATTCAATCATCGTCGCAGTCGAAAGAAGATAAATAACATTCACAACTTCCATTATGACAACAATTTCATTACCTAGACGAGGTAAACAGTATGTACAGATTGGACGAAGCCAATTTTTACTTAATGATCATCAATAAGTAGATAAGTCTGCAGTTTCTTTAACGCTTGTCTTTGTGTAGTATTCTTCACGATAAAAACCATGGATTGGAATACAACAAAGTGTGAAGATGTGTCAAGAGCCGTTTGTTATATGACGTTCCTTGTAGTATTTTTAACATAGCTACTTATTAAACTTGTTTTTCTGCATCAAATATTGCTCTACCTGTAACAGTAGTAATGATGCATCAATAAAATTTTTCCCAACAACTATTCTCGTCTCCTTAATTTCATAGGGAGATGTACCAATAATCATAACGGGTAATTAATTATGGAAATTTCAAACAACTAAGTGTTCTCTCTTTAAGTACCTGTTTCGTTACTTGTGGTAATCCATCGATTTGGATATTTCACTAGAATGTTGCGTTATATATATATATATATATATATATATATATATAAGTCTCTTAACAACGACAGTGTATTCAGATGGATAATTGTAGTGGCATTGTTTCTTATCCACACGGTTTTCAAAGCCAAACATATACTTACTAAAAAGATGTAAATTCAACATTGGACATTTAGAGAAGTTCGGAAATGGTGGACGTCGAAACATCCATACAACCGGATGACACGGCTCAGCCTTTCAGACGTGGTCATTATGTGTAACTTATCACTATTTACATAAAATATTGCACTCTATTCCCGTCACAAATGTGTTCTTCAGAAGTGCGAAGTATTATATTGTTATTTGTTACGATATGATCAGTCAGTGTGGACAGTGATGTGACTTCCATGTAAGATCTTACAGATTAGGCCGTCACATCACGACAAACTCACCTTTTCAGGATTAAGTTTACTATCAAAGTAGTATTGAAACCGAGATGGTCTATAATTCAAAATACTAACAAGACTGAGTATGGTCACTCAAGATCCGCTCAGTGGTTCAGTACTCTTCGTTTCAGAAAAATGCCCGATAATGTATTCAAACTCCACTATCCCCGAAACAGCATGTACACACAGTGACTTATCCAGCTCGAAAAAGGATCCCCTGTTAAATGTTTATGAAGTTGTTTCAGTAACCACCAAATCGAGAAGTACACTGAATGTAGCTGCTTCAAATGGATTTCATCATTCTGACGAATCTAATTATCAAGATCGTCTTTTACCAAAAAATATGTCAGATGAATCAAATGATAATCAAGAACCTGATGCAGTTCTGATGGACGCTGATTATCAAAGAGCCCCACTATCTATTAGTGATGTTCCCAATATTTTGGTCACAATATCTCAGAAGAATCAAACTTCGATTACGTCATATCAAGCATCATTCAGCATCACCATTTAGTCACTTTCGGTCGATTCTCTGTTCAGTGCGACAAGAATGTTTCAAATAAATTCAAATTAATTGCAACTTGTGAATATCAGGATCGAACCTGCTTCGTGAGGGAGAACGAACCCAGAAAATTTAAAACCGGGTATCAACTCCGGATCTTCAAGAAAAGGGGAGGTGTGTTAGGTCCCGATAAGCATAATGAATGATAACTTTTTGGGATCCATTTATGGACCAATACTATGCGTATATTTTTATCGTATAATTGTTAAATAACTAAACTATTCATATTCATATTTCTCTTATTATAAGCTTTATTTTGACCCATGAACCATTATTATACGTTTTACCATTCTTGAATTATGCCCTGTATATTAATCACTACCTCCCACATTCACAGCCACATTTGGCCAAATATTGTGCAAACGTTATTTTCTATTTTATAGTACCATGTGATCTGTTCGATTGGTATATAAACCGAGCATGTTTGAAATACATGATTCATATTGCAGATGCTTAGATTGGTGTTCTGGACTTAACTGGCTGGGCTGGACGGAAAGCAGGACCAATTAGAACCCTAGTCTGCTCGCACGTGTTTTACGCATCCTTGGTCCGATCGATAATTCACTGCTCTCTGATTGGTGGTATTATTACGTTATACATTAACCGGGCATTCAGGTCACAAGTTATAACTCCATCATAGAATTTCACCTACTCATATGGTATTAACCAAGAAACTGCAGGTACCAAATAAACGGACTGGAAAATTTCAATTCGCAATATGAAATCTGAGAAAAATCCAATAACATCTTTCATAATAAAATTATCATTCCACTGTTTACATACAATAATGACATCACTGGTATGCACTATTTATATATATTATTCGTCAATATGCATCAGAAATTTGTTTATTATTTGACTAGTGACTGTGGGTTCTGTTTACAGAAATTCATCCGTTAATCCTATAACAAATGCATCATAAATTAGTATTAAGTACGAAATGGGTTTGTTAACATTTAAGATTACCAACGATGATGATCTATTTTGAATGATTGAGGACCTACTGAAGTAAGACGGGAATGGTGTGACGAACCAGCTAACGTCGAAGTCACGCCTAGTGGTCAGCAACTTACATGAATTACCCCATTGACGTATCAAGGTACTATAGATGCATTGAAGACTATAACACAAAGGACATTATAACAGAAATATATTAGTTAAAGTAGATACAGGTGATAGTAAGACAACCACCTCATGGGCCAGTCCATGGTTTTCGATTAAATAATGCATGTTGGCCGTCATTGACCTTGAAAGGGATCGATGATCGATTTGGTATTCAGTGGCCCAACTGCCGGATGATTTGGCTAGGACTTAATGACATCTCACTGGCCCTACACCATGCTCAAAAGAATCACACATCGCTTTACTTATGAAGAATATGTGACTAATTAATGTAGCACTTTCAGTATCGTTATACACAGTTCCCGTATATGCTATCAACTTCAATTATTACTCACATGATTTTTCTTCCTCGGATATGTTACATAATAAAATGACAGTCCAGCCAGAAACGACAATATTTGTAATGGATATAGTTGTTTTTGGTTGTATATTAGCAAGTTGTATAATATTGTAAAATAGATTAACGCCTAATTACTTGAACCTTGATCTTATAAACAATTACCAACATCCATGTTCATCGCCACCATATTTAGTGGGAAGTGAGTCAATGCGAAAAGTTTAAGAGCTTAAATTCGCTTGAAAATTTGACCATGGTCTATTTTTGACTTGATAAATGCCGATTTTCTGGTTAACGTTTTTTTAGCGAGTTAGCTTTCTGCGGGATGGGGTCGCTAACACCATGCCCAACCCTCCTCCTTTATCCGAGCTTATGACCGGCAGTAGACCCAGGAGGGACTACAGGCAAAGAGAACAAACCAGATCTCAGCCGAGGAAGAAATCAGAAAGAAGCGCTGGAAATGGACACGACACACATTAAAGAAAGTACCCAACTGCGTCACAAGAGAAGCCCTCATGTAGAATCCTCAAGGCCGAATGAGGAAAGGAAAACCGAAAAACCCATTACGCCGTGAAACGGAGAGAGACATGAGAAAAACGAAAAAGAATTGGATGGAACTAGAAAAGTAGGCCCAGGACAGAGTGGGTTAGAGAATGCTGGTCGGTGGCCTATGCTCCATTAAGATTAACAGGCGTACATACTTAAGTAAATGCTGATTTTCACTTGCTTGAGTTCGCATTGCTACAACCAACCACATTAGGCTGACTAAACTTTCATTCATGTTGTGAGCAACAAATTCGTCAAACTGCTAATGAACTGAAAATAAAGCTATGTAATAAGCACAAACACTACGAAAATTGACGTGTGACGAGAAAAAATGCTGTTAACAGCTGATAAATAGCGACATTCGAAATCCTCGACAACATGCGCACGGGAACCCGTGACTTGACTTAGTCACCCAGAGCGATTGCTTTACGAAATGGCCGCCTCATATCAGGTCGTTCAAGGACGTTCGAACGAAACGGCGGGCGGATTTTAACGAACCTTTTTTGCCGTGCCGATGAAGCAGGTTGTTGTTTTGGGATGTGGTGCCTGGAGCACAGCTATCGCTAAAGTTATCGCTGATAACGTCGCATCATCAAATGAGTTTTATAGTAAGGTGAGTTTGTCAAAATATTCCGATATCCAAATGGCTTTTAGATTGCTATGTATGTACGTGATGAAACTCACAATGACCGAAATTTAGTTGATTATATCAATAACGATCATATAAACCCAGTATATTTGCCAAGCATTACTATTCCTACTAATGTCACTGCAAACAGTAGTATCAAACAAGTTGTTTCAGATGCTGATATCATAGTAGTTGCTTACCCATCTCGATATGTACAGTGGCTAATAAAACAAATTAATGGGCATGTCAAGGAAAATGCCTACTTCGTCTCTTTCTGTAAAGTGAGTTTCAGGCAATTTTATTGATGTTCTTGCTCGGTTCACGATCCCAATGTTATTCTAGGTATAGGCGTTAGTCTTAATGTTTACGCTATAATGAAACAGTAAAATATTATATTGATACTTAGTTTTTTCATTCCACTTTATCTAGCATTTAGTTGCTCGAGTGCTCACATTTGCTGGGTGACATGTATACAGATTTAAATAGCTAAAAATCGTCCGACGAAACAAAGATTACCTACTAAATATAAACCTTAAGACTTGTTGATTTCTTAGGGCTAATTATTTCCATCTAAACTTTTTGGTAGTCTATCTTTTGTGCGTTTCGACTTCTCGCTGTATGAATTCTATTTACATTGTTTCCGAACCACTATCTTTCTGGCCTAAAAGACGTATCGGTACGTTTTGCTAGTATAACGTTAAGTTTATTACCCAACATAAATGTTGGTTTCACTATGTGTCATTCAATTGTTTGAGATTTTGGGTCCTTTTAAGATTGGTTTTCGTGACAATGTGTACTGCGGCATGATAAAAAATTATGTCTCACATTATGACCGACCTATTGTTGTTCAAGATCTATGGAGATTTTTAAACGTTTCACAGATCCTAGGATTCCTGTATGACTGAATGTAATTATTGCTGATGGTCAAAAATCTTCGAAAATACTCACTGCAACAAAAAAATTTTAAAATATACATGTACTTATTTGGTCGGGAAAATGAACTGAGGACTAATGTTTCAAAGTTTTAGTGTGAAACATATTACTTTCAAAATTCTTAATTCAAAATCAGTATCAGTACTTTGTTGGTAAAGCTTGTAGCTATGAAAGTAATAACGTTCCGTTGAACGAATACGACCTCCGTGCAAACATTGATGGTATAGCTGAAAGTGTGCCTTTCTAATCTCTCATAGTACCACTGTTTAGTCTTGAAAAAAAACCTATTTGGTTCTCTGCATTAAAGGGACCATTACTAAATCCAGAGATAACTAGCCGACATCTCCAAATCTGCGTATTCAAACTTAGATACGCACTAGAAAGAGTTGGGGGACATAATGTAGCTTTCAGACTCAAGGAACCTAATAAAGTTTTTATGGAACTACATTAATCTCAGGTCGAAACACGAGGCTGAATCTAAGAAACTTTTAGTTATTTTGTAAATCGTGATGTTGCTAACTGTTAGGAAGTGAAACTGATTCTGTAGTTTAACCTGTCGAATTAACTGGTTGAATTACAATAAAAGTAAAGATAAACGAAGATTCGCATAACTTTCTCATGTATGTCAACAAAGAAAAATGTTACTTTAAGAAGTTAATTAATCGCTTTACCCACCTAATGCATTTCGCTGAACACATTAATCATTTAAATTACAAACTATCAACAAAATACAGAACTTTGATCGACAGTGATCCTAATTTATCCCTTGCGATTTTAGCGTTTCACTATGGGATTGTCTGTCTTTATCCTTAAAGATGTTTCGCTTATAGATGATGAGTGCTTGACCATCAGTGTTATTGAAGCATCTTTAATGCGGAAAATGTTTAGAGTCCAAACGATAGGGCCAAGATTTAAACACCATTGTCCAACAAGTTCACCGTTAGACAGTATATTATTCAATTATCCATTTTGTTTTTCGCATATTAATTATTGCTATGGAAGACTTTAGTACTTTCTGTTTCAAATTTGTTCCACAAAAATAAACATTAGCTTAGAGCAAATAGTTGTTGTTCCACGCTTCATATTTTTTGTTTGTCTATTGGCAATTAATTGATAACCAAGTGGTAATCTATGTTATGTTTCTTTAATTGTTCAGTGCTGTTCGGATCCTGTCAATTAAGTTGCATGTGAATCGACGTCTCATGCGCTCAGCTAAAACACATCGAAGAGTAACAACTAGTAAAAACCCAGATCCAGGATTTCCTACCTGCTAACTCCAGCCATGTTACATCTCATCATGGTGCATAAGATATCAAGTCACCTAGACTAGTGACGACATGCAACTTAATCGACGGAATTCTATCATAACTGAACGATGAGCGAAACATGACATTGATCACCAATCATTAACCAACCAATTTTAAATATCTTGGTCCTACACTAGGGTAATTTTCGGAACGATGTCTCAAACTGTGAAACTGAGTGATGTTGATTCAAAGTCCTCTGGATGACGCATCAATTTCTTCGAGATTGCAAGCATATCTTACTAGCTAGTACCAACTAGTGTAGAACCTAGGTCCAGGGTTTCCTACTCACAAACTTCAAACACTCAACATGTCTGCCGAACTTTATGGCTTTTGAGAATATTGTTGTTAGATCATTAGTTATGACATTAGGTAATTGTATTTTTACTGTTAATTCGGTTAAACTGAAATAAATACTTTTGGTAAATGGGCTTTCATTAATCTTAGGTTGATTATATCAATATTTTAGTCTAATTGCTAGTTAAACTCGCATCGTAAATAGTTTTTTGCTCACTTGGACAACTAATTTAATCAAGCTTTTAAATTACAGCTTATAGCGTCTCATAATACTTATATAGATCCACTATCCATGTAGTACAAAAAGGCAAAATGCAAAAAATCTAATTGAATTGATTTATTTTGCGATATAATACTCTTTCCCACAAATAATTTTTTTCGCATAATTTCTCGTTATTTCTTTTTTGAATCAAATGTAGGGTCTTGTTTTGTATTCAGAAGAAAATCGAGTCAAACTAGTGAGTGATATGATTCGTGAGCAAACTGGTAAAAGTTGTGTTGTTGTCAGTGGAGCTACAACAGCTATAGAAATAGCTGAAAAACAATTCACCGAAGTAACTATTGGTGCTAAAAATTACGATCATGGAAGTGAAGTAAAACGATTGCTTCAGGTATTATGATATTTCACAGAAAATTGATTGCTATCCTAAACTCAATAAGCAAATTAAGAGGTTTGGTTGATTTTTGTTAGCTTGTGGACTGATTATAGTTTCTATCAGCATTTTATTCAATTATTAAGAAGTTAATCCTATAAGGTGTCGAAGCATGGTGTATAAGGCTTCGTTTAACCGCTATAAACTAAATTTATTTGTTCAAATAATGAACTAATCTAATTTAGATCAGTACTAAAACCTGAAAGCACTGGAAATCCTTTTTTGTCCTGGCGGTGGACCCCTCGGCAGTGCGCATCCACGACCTCATATGTGGGAGTCAAACCCAGGACTTTCGGTCTCGCACACGAACGCTTAACCTTCAAAGCACTGAGGTGGCATCCATGGTTATCAGTGGTGGTCTTACTCAGGTTGGTTCATGATTTCAATCCAATTTAACGATCTCTACAACCCCATACTGAAAAAAATTTCTTTCGACTGGTGAATTGAACCACTGAAATGATTTTTTGTAACAGTATCGATGTATTAGTGCATAAATCTACAAATGAATATTTTATTATGTTTGATAGGAACACACAACCATATCCACATCAAATGGTTCCATAATTAAATGTACAAGAGTTACTTGTTTGTTAATAAGTTTACTGTTGATAGTTGTGCTGTCCAAAGTATAATTAGCCTTTAAAATATTGTAATTATAAGTATATATAATATGAAATTTGACCTGCTTTTCTAATGGTTGCATACTTATTATATTCTACTCAGAACGTACAGAAATCTGGTTGTTGATTGAATGTCATTAGTAAATAAAACATAAGACTTTAGAGATATTTCGTTTCATGAGTATCTGTGAGCAAATGGAAGTGTATTTTCTCTATTTGTTAATCACAATCAGTGCGACCATCGTCACAAGCAAAATGCGTACAACCCCAAAGTGCCCTGGTACGACCGAGGGTGGGGAGAATTAGCTCTTCCACTCGAAATGCTCTCAAATGGCCACATATATACAGCTAATGACACAGAAGTCCTACTCACTTCCCTCTCGCTGCAGGGATGTTTTTTTACGAGATTTAGAGGACGAAAAGCGAATGTCTGGCGTTTTAACCGGGTTGGTGGATACGGAGAATCCACCTATGGGAGTCGGAAAACTTTAATTCCAGACCAATAATTCGTATCGGCTCCAGGATCCAGATAGAACAAATGGCGTATGAACCTACCGTTAGTCATCGGCTACCATGGGACTGCATCTCCTTGCGTTGCTTCACTGCCTTGCGGATCAAACCTTTAGGTCAAAGGCTCCGGATATGGCCCCTTAAGAAGAGCACCCGCTTCGGTCTGGGAACCTGGGTAGTATCACGGCCCATACCCAAATCAAGTGACTTGTGTGGCGCATATGTATTTGGTGCCCCTTCGTACCAATATGTTAAAGTGAATAAATAAATCAAAATGGCAAATCTTCAGTCATTTTGAAAGTGTATGGTGTTTTTGATTTCAAAAAAGAAAAAGAAATTGGGAATGATAGATTAAGGAACTAATATGACAGAACTTAATGTATGCGCGTAATTATTTCCAGTAAAATATTACGTTAGCATTACTAAGTAGTAATTAGTGTGATATCTTACTGGTTGAAGGATTCAACTGTTAACTAATGAGTTGAAGGTACAAAAACTACTTTACTTCGTTTTAAATTACCAGGTAATATTGTTATTCCTCAGACGAAAGATGTGACTGAAAACCTAGTTGTTGTGTTATGTACTTGTTAATTTGTGTAACAATGTTCAGTCGGTTTAGCTACAGGATTCATTTAATTTTAACGTTAATTGGAATTCAGTTGTACTGAATCTTGTTGATAAGCTATTCCATTTCCCTAATATATTATTCTAAGTATATTTTTATTACTGATTATAATAACAGGTTCTTCATTATGTACAACCTACAGTTTTATATATTTATGTATTTATTTCAGAGATATTTTATCCATATATTTATATTTATTTTTACGTGTTTATATTTTATTTATTTATTGCAACCAATCGCTTTTTTGTTATTTAGACTATATAAGCTACTGTTATAATCTATTAGTCCGATCCATTCACAATATGCGCTCCCTAATGTTTATCCAACCGGGTACACAAGTGTGACAGTTGGGAATGCTTTAAAAACTTTAATGTCAAAACTGAATCAATGTGTACATAACTCATAGATATATATGTGTATTTTTACTGACTCAGACATGGACATATAGTCAGATGATTAATTCACTCACAATTGGCTTCTCCAGACTTATATCTGTCACCTACCATATTCCTTGAAATAACACATAACCTATCTAGAATAGCAAGGTCAACCACTTCCCCTTTTTGAAAGTTTTCCTCTTTGGATGCATTCAAAATTTTGGCATATGAAAAAACATTCAATCTCGGTGTTCAAAACATAAATTAGTAGAATAGAGTTTGATATTTCATCCAAAACTATCAACCGTAGTCAAATGGCTAACACTGTTTTCGTAAAGCAATGAATTAGTCTGCTCATTTTGTTTAAAAAACGACCTCGAGAGTTTGAAACGTTTTTTATCTTTTTGTCAATCAATTATAAAATTACACCGATATTCTTCGAGTTTCGCATGCGGGATCGTGGATTCGAAACGGCTGTCCATTGCTTCCAGGTTTTCAATGGTAGTCTAACATTGATCGGTTCATGATTTCAATTAAATTCAATAATCTCCAAAACTCCATACTGAAAATTATCATGTGTTCACAAATGATTACTTTCGAAAGGTACCTCTCAGAATCCTACTGAAAATTCGTGACCAGTGGAGTCCAGCCGTGTCGATTGTGAAGCAGTTGCCCACCTAAGACAGTGGAAGATGGTAGCGAGATATCGTGGATTGGTTGAAACTAGACATTAACATTGTTGGTTGCCGGCTCAGTGGTCTAGAGGTTAGGCGTTTGCGCCTCGGATACAGAGTTGTGGATGCTCACTGTTGAGCATTCAATCACATTAATATTTCTCTAATCGGGAAGTTTCAATATTTCTAAATCTTATTTGAAAAAGAAAACCTCCGTTTTCTCTGATTCTCGGTTTCTTTTTGTGGAGATAGGGTCTCAGTAGATTTAATTCCTAAAAGCAACAGACCTTTGTTTATGATGAAATAACCCAAACGCACATATACTTAATGGGTTATATGTACATATATGAAGAAAAAAATTTGTTGAAGAAAATAACGGCTGTTCGTCGTGGTTGAGATTCTCCCGTCTTTTATATTCATGGCTACATTCGATCAAACTGTTGTAAAAAATACATGTTGAGTAGATACCTTGATATTGCAAAATGCAAGTTCTTACAATATTTTCGGATCGTGGCGAAATCTAGAATGCACATCACGTCCTATTTGGGACTTGCCAATCAGATATCTCCTTAATGTGTACGTATACCATTAGAGAATGATCGATTTCAATCTTTAATCTCAGCAATGGGAAAATACAAACTCTTACAAATAACCCTATACTTATTGGAAAAGTTAATGGCTTCCTGGAGTCAGTAGTCTAGTGGATAATGGGTTAGTGTTCGAATTATTAGGTGTTTGACTCAAGTCTAAGTATGAACATCAACATTGGAATGTATGTATATATGACTGAGGAGTCTCAAATAGAACGAAACACGTATCATATGTTTCATTATTGGCTATTATCTCAAAGTATACTAAAGAATAAGTGTCTCGGATTGACTGAACTAATTGTTCAGTGTGATATAATTACATATTGATCAAAGTATTATTCGATTTAGTAGTACTATTCGGTAAACAATCGCAATTTTACTTAGGTATTCGGTTTTCAGGTCAGTTTTTATTAGGCATAATAATACCACTTGATAAAATAGAAAATTATGCTCCAGTACTTCATTTGCAAAATGCTTATTAATTGTCTCAGACTTCAGTGTTTCTGCATTTCCATACCAATTGTTTTCTGTTCTCATTCTTTCCTCCTCGATCTCAACCTTCTGCTGCCAGACATTCTATTCCTGAATAGCGTTATATACTACTTATGCTGACATATGTAGCACACACCACAGTACTAGACGGCTGTTTTGTCCTTGTATGATGTTCATCAACAGTATGTACTCACTACTACACCAAGTAATGAAACCATGATCTGCAAGTCTGCAAATTTAATCGATCACCATAAAATCCCGAAAATTAAATGTTTAATATATTTTGACAGTAATCTATTATCAGTTAGAATGACCTACATAACTACGGAATGACATTGTTAAAAAATGGTGAACATATTAAAGTTATACATTTGTTTGCCTAAAGTACTTTATATTTCTTCCGTACATATTTTTCTCTGAAGACCATCTATATTGTTTAAATTTATCAAGCTTATTTTTTGTAAACATTTAGATAAATATATTGGTTTCCATTTCCTGTCTAGATTATTTCCGCTAAAACTGAAGCTATTAGATTTATCATAATTTCCTAAATATCTAGGTTTTTTATTTTAAGATTATTTTCAGTTGTAAATTTTTAATAGAAAATTTGTACTAAAAATTCTCCGTTTTAAGCAAGCGGTCTGAAGGTTATAAGCACTCACTGTCAGAAGACATGAATGTGTGTGGAACATATATATTTGGTGCCCCTTTGTACCAATATTTATGTGTTCAAATAAATAAATAAGTAAAGACACGAATGTCCTGGGTTAGATCCACTTACTGGGGTTATAGATGCTCACCACTGAGGAGTCTTGTACTAGTATAAAACAGCTGTTCAATATTTCCTGGTTTTCAATGGTTGTGTAGTTAGGGTCAGTTAGTAAAAACTGTTTCCTTTTTCGTTGACTAGTTTGTTGGAGTGGTGTCTCAGTAGCCAAGATATTCAACTTTCAGCCACCAATTAGTGGATTTGAATCCTGTTCAACCTAATTCAGTTTGGGTAACCAGGTAGTGCTACATGCACTCACATTTTCAATGAGGCTTGATGCCAGTATTTGAGTCAATGGGCTTTGTATAGCATTATCTGTTGCATTATTCCTTCTTACGCAATAATACTTATTGAACCTTGTTGTGTGTTTTATTTTGTTGTCTCAATACAGACATATTACTTAAGAATGGTGATTACACAAGATGATGTTGGAGTTGAATTATGTGGCGGTATCAAACATGTTGTAGCAATCGCTGCAGGTATTTGTGATGGTTTAAAGCTAGGAGATAACACAAAATCTGCTGTACTTCGTATTGGATTCTGGGAAATGTCTGAACTGATGAAAGAACTATTCCCCGATAGAGGTTTGTTTCCTTGTAGTTTGCTGATAGTTAACTATGATAATTGTTTTTAAACTATATGTTCGTTTCATAAGCAAAAATGCACTGTGGCTAGCAATGGAATGTAGGACTGACGACGTTGTTTACAAAGGTCTGGGAACTAGAGAGTGTACCAACGTCATGGAATGAGTCGATAGTTGTCCCTATCTTTAAAAAGGGTTCACGTCGTTCCTGTAACAACTATCGGGGGATAAGTCTACTTCCGATTGCGTCCAAGCTATTGGCTTCCGTTATACTTCGTAGGTTGTCCAAAACCCGAGAAGGATTGACTCGCGAGAAGCAGGCTGGGTTTCGTTCCGGTCGAGGATGTATTGATCATATCTTCATCCTCCGCTAAATGTTAGAACACCACCATACTTATCAAAGGCCAACAATCGTGGTGTTTCTTGACATAAAGGCTGCGTTCAATTCTTTGGATAGGACTGTTCTCTGGGAGTGTCTATTGAAGAAGGGTGTGCCTGAGAAGTTTATTAACATCCTAAAAGCCCTATATACAAACACCTCAGGCAGAGTGAGAGCATACAACCACCTCTCTCCATTGTTCCATTCAAGCAGTGGGGTTAGGCAGAGTTGCCCAATCTCACCATTCCTCTTCAACTTCGCCATCGATGACATTCTAGAAATACCTCTGATGGATGTAAGTAATGGCGGTGTAGATCTGTTGCCTGGAGAAAGACTTCTCGACCTTGAGTATGCGGATGATATTGTCTTACTGTGCGATAATGCCCAAGCTATGCAATCCGCACTTAATCAGTTGGCAATCAATGTCCGTAGGTATGGTATGTGCTTTGCTTTGCTTTGTGGCGCATATATATTTGGTGCCCCCCTGTACCAATATTTATGTGTTCAAATAAATAAATAAATAATTGCACCCTCGAAGTGCAAAGTACTTCTACAAGACTGGCAGGATTCTAATCCTGTACTCACTCTGGATGGTGAGCAGATAGAAGTAGTCGAGAAGTTCGTGTATCTAGGTAGCTGCATATGTGCTGGTGGTGGCGTGAGTGATGAGATCAATGCACGTATAGGGAAAGCCAGAGCGACTTATGCCAATCTGGGCCATCTTTGGCGCCTTCGTGATGTTAGTCTGGCTGTAAAAGGTCGGATCTACAACGCGTCGGTGAGAGCAGTTTTGCTCTATGCTTGTGAAACCTGGCCTCTCCGAGTTGAGGATGTTAGCGACTCTCTGTGTTCGATCATCGCTGTCTCCGAAGGATTGCTGACATTCAGTGGCAACACCATGTTAGTAATGCAGAAGTTCGGCATCGTTTGTTCGGGCACAGAGACGATAATGCAATTAGTGTCACCATCTTGAAACACCGACTTCGGTGGCTTGGAAATGTTCTACGAATGTCGTCCCAGAGAATTCCTGGTTGTGCATTATTTGCCGACTCTGGGACTGGTTGGAAAAGGCGGAGAGGTGGTCAGTATATGACAAGGTGTCGTGGTATGAAAGAAAGCTGCAAAGGGCTGGTTTGTGTTGGTCCTTCACGACTCCCTGGCTGGGGTTCGAGAGATGGTGCAACACAGTGGCCAGAGACGTTATCAGATATGGCTCAGAATAGAAGCCAGTGGCGATCCTGCTGTAACCTTCTTTTACTTTCTTCATAAAAGTGGTTGCTTCTTCCTTAACTGAAAGATTTCTTCTGATTGTACCTTTTCGTTTCCCTCATTTTTGTTTTTTTTATAATTCCCTACATTCCTTACATTTTTTTCCTTCTCTTTAAATTCCCATTGTTTTGTGTGGCGCATATATATTTGATGCCCCCTTGTACCAATATTTATGTGCTCAAATAAATAAATAAAAATATATAAAATATATAACATACGTTTAATCCATCAAAATGGATGTTTTCGGATTATTTGATTTGCACTCAAAAATAATTTCCACCACTTTCATTTACCACCAGCTTGTATGGTCTGTTTTCATTGAATTTGTGAAATCTTGTTTCGACTTCAATAACCAGAAGTGAGGGTCATCAGTCAGTAAATATCATGCATTTTGCAACACGCTGAATTTTGGTTATTCGGAGTAACTGTTAACTCTTTGATATCAGTTTTACAATTTGAAATCCTAATCTTTATGTGACATCATTCCATTGTCGGACTAAAATTCATATTCTTCACAATTAACTTTAAATTTATTTTATTGTCAACCTTAATTTTTATTTTGTTACTAAGTTTAATGTTTTCCAAGACCAGCTACAAACTATTTACACCGATGTATTATTATTATAGTAATAATGTGAGCTTTGTAGCGAAATATCAGTTTTCCAGTCTGTTTATTATGAACTTGTGTTAGTTAGTATTGCTGCCTGATTGTCTCTTTGTTTAACTAGGTTCGCATAAATCGTTGAGTATGTGTTTCGACTAAATTTTTGGCCATTTAGAAAGTTACATATGATGTGTTAAATTCTATTCTTTTTATATTAAATCTTTTTCCAAAGATCATAACATTGCTACAAATTCTCAATCATCTCCTAGCCAATTGGAGAATGGCTCTTACAGGTGAATGGTTTGCGGAAAAAAACCATAATATTAAGAAGTATAAACAGATTTACATAATTAGTGGATTGTGTAACGTCTTTCATCGTTTACTCTGCCTGCCAATTAAAAAAACAAAGACATAAGATCGTCCTTATGTATGCATAAGTTACTCGTCTTCTCGAACCCTTAGAAAAACAGAAATAGATCTTTAAGAATCCCCACATCGTTCTTAAGATTAGAGTCAGGTATGATGCGGAAGTGGCATGCAGCCATATGGATGAATGGATTTCGCGCGAAATTTCCGAGTGATGTTATCTGGTCAGTTCGTTAATAAAATATAGGGGCACTAAGTAAAGGTTTCGTTTGTTAAGTGTTCAGGAATAGCGTCAATTTGTCTTTTATACACATTCTACAAAGATAGAATTTAGCAATTGGTATATTTAGCACTATCAGTTTTACTCAGTGGTGACAAAAAACAATTTTCCACCATCATTTGAAACGTTTCGATCAGTATACAAAGGTATTTTTCATACTCATTATGTGTGATATTTTAGTTTCACACAATAACCTAAAAATCGTATTCTGAATTTTGATCGCCTCGTCCTTATACTTTAGTCTTACTTATAATGTCTGGTAATCCACTGAAGAAGTCGATCGTATGGTTGATGGCATTTTAAAAAAAATCTTTAACTTCCTGTCTCTGAAATGATTGATTACTATAATGCAAATTCATTGGCTTAATATTACAAGGACAAGGATTATTATTCGTACTATTATTCTTCGTTTTACATGTTGCCAAAAGTACGTGTTTGTTGCTAAGGTAGATAGATGTATGTAAGCAGAAGATGAGAAATTGGATGTAGCGATTTCACTTGTTCAAAAGACGCACATTCATTCCGATAAGTTTATTGACCCATCGCATATCCCTTGATGAACTCTTAAAAGTTATTGAATTCATTGAAAATTACTTTATTTGTATACACTTTTCCCTTCATAAACCTCAAATTATACCTTTTATCCGTATAAAATCTATTTTTGTGATGTTCTAGTCAAGCTATACTATACCACCATGGAAAACCTGGAAGCACTGGAAGGCCGTTTCAATTGACTCATGATCTCAACTATTGAAATCACTACAATCTGCACGAAACCGCTTCTGATATTTTATCGGTTTGTCAAGCCGATTAAGTAATATAACTGTGCCCTTCATACATACAGTGTAGCTTGAAATAGCCGTGTTTAAAAATTACTTACCGAGAGGTTACATTAAATCATTGAAGTCACGTAAAAGCTTTCTCAATTGTTTTTTATTTAGGTTGTTTTTTTCATATTCCTCATTGAAACAAACACTATTTTGCCTAGCACAACATTTCTTACTGTTTTTACGTCTTCACCATGAACATGCCCATTTAATTGATAGAATCAATTTCTCCCTATATGAGATTTTTTTAAATATCTTCTGTTTGTATATCGATTGCTTCGAATGAACGTGCTTACTTATTGTTTTTAATTGGATAATGTGAAAACCTATTTTCTACAGCCAACATGTATGTGATATTTACTAAGACATAAGTAGTATGTAACACCCATCAGAAATTGAATACCTGTCACCAGGTTGAGGAGATTGAAATGAAGAAAACATAAAGGGAAACATAAAAGAATTGAGGATTGGAAGTATCATAAAGGATGTATGAGACATATGATAGAAAATTTAAAAATGAACTATGTAATGTATGGTTTTCACATTTTGTGAAATAACTCTGTAATTTTTTGTTCAACAACAAATTGATTATCCCAAGCCAAGTCTGGTTCATTATACACTTGGTTCTCAACCAATGAGTCTCAAATATATAAACCCTGTCTCATTTAATAATGTTTAGAAATCACAACAAAATATTCTTGGGGATCTCGATAAATGTGGGTCACCGCTTAGTGTATGAATGGGCAAAAGTTCACTGAAACATATCATTTTTCAAGTTGGGTGCGTCAAACCAATAAGTGGAATCAGTCCATGAAGTGATTAACCACTGTGCTAAGCTGTGTTGACAGGTGCAGACTACCTGTTTGCTTTTCGTTTGGTGACCGCACTCAGTATTTGATGTTGATGTCTCAACGACACAGATAAATTCACTCTTTGTCTTCCCTTAGGTCTTAAATTTTAAAACGACCTCATATTACTAGTTTATTCTGTCTTCTCGAATCATGCTGTTCATGTCAAATGTTTTCTACTATCACTGATGCTGTTATTGCTTCCATTATTCTAACATTTGTCTTGATATTTCTATCCGACTGTCTTGATATAGTGTAGCAGCTTGAACCGATGCATATAATTGTCACGTTCTATATGGTTTATGACTAGCTGATATTATTTCTATTAGTATTTAGTCAGATATATATGTATCCAATTTACTTTATATTCGGCTTTGAGCTATACCATTTTTATGAAGGCTGATTATACTAGCCAATTTTTTAAACTGAGGTAGGTAAAGCGGATTTCGAACCTGTGACCTAGGCTGAGGGAAAGTTGAATGCATTAAACCAGTAAATTAAAATTAGATATACTATATAAAGACAATTTTTCATTATGATCAACTAAACTGTTTTAAGTCTTTTGTTGTGCTCATTCTAACGTTTTAGGTACTGATTGGTTAACAATAGAACAAAGTTGTGGAATGGCTGAATTGTTTATATGTAAGTTCTTTAAGTACCTATTGTTTGTTTTCTTGTAAAATATTTTTACTTGTTTTCAAAATATTTAATGATAAAAGGATAGTTGCACTTATGTATTTGCTTAACATTACAATATCTTTAAACAAAAACCAATTATTTTATCAACATTTTGTAGTAATAATAATGTTGGTATTACTGAGGTCTCTTAGGTGGTTTAATTGCGGAGCTTTCATTGTCATTCTAGACATCATTAGTGCCTATTTCATTTAGAACTGACCTTTCTAGCTATTTCACAAGGTGTTATTTGGGTTCATTCTGGTGACATAGTTCGTGATTAGTCGTCTTTATTTGCCTTTAGACTCACGTTGGTTGACTTTATTAGTTGATGTTTGGTTTTGTGACCGACATTGACCTCATCCGTATGGGTTCATAATTTTGGTCAATGTCAATGTGTCTTGGTATTTTTATAGTTTACTTGTATCAATGGCATTCACCTAAGTTACAAATTTTCTCTATCATTTCAGATTATAGTGTGTTTAGACATTAACTTTTCGTTGAAATATCGGCGCTAAAATTCTTTTACGTTTGTTATAACTGAGGAATGACTGATACTTGTAACCGGAAACTACAATTCGCTGCAAGACTCAAGGAAGACATGATAAAAAAGAAGACCTCCTAGACGAGCGTAGTCCACCCACCAGCATTCTTCATCGAACTCTGTCCTGGACAATCCTTTCCAGTAGTTTCCAGTTGCTATTCATCCTTTTGATATCTGCTTCTAACTTCCGGTGCAGTGTTGTCTTTGGTCTTCCTCTTATCCGTTTCCATTTAAGATTCCAAGTGAACACTTGTCTCATGATTCAGTTTGGTGATTTCCGCATCGTTTGTCCTATCCACTTCCCGCATCTTTTCTCAATTTCCTCTTCAGCTAAAAGCTGGTTTGTTCTCTCCCACAGTAGGCTGTTGCTGATGGTATCCAGCTAACGGACGTTGCGTAAACAATTGTTTATGACTACCTGTACTTTCTTGACCATGGTTGCAGTAGTTCTCCAAGTTTCAACTCCGTACAGTAGAACTGTCCCGACATTCGTGTTGAGAATTCTGATTTTGGTGTTGGTTGACAGTTGTTTTGAGTTCCAGATGTTTTTAAACTGTAGGAACGTCGCTCTCTCCTTATCGATCCCCACCTTTACATCTGCATCGGATCCTCCTTGTTTATAGATGATGCTATTCACCTGTTCCAGAGCTCCTTCATCAAGTACGATTGGTTTGGTGTTCTCTGTGTTGATTTTCGATATCTTGTTTTTTCCCTTGTGTATGTTGAGGCCTAACTCCGCCTGTAGCTCTCCTAGAGTTACTGCCGGTCCCAAGCCCGGATAAAGAGGAAGGTTGGGCATGGGGTTAGCGTCCCCATCCCGTAGAAAACTAACTCGCTAAAAAGACGCTAACCAGATAAATAACTCAAACCATTTAAACTCTGCCCTGGGAGTTAGAAGGTCTTCATTTAGAAGAAATATGACGCCTCAGGGTGAAAGCCGAGTTCCTTCGGAAGCCACGAGGCCGATGCTCCCTCTAACAACCAGAGCAACAATTTTTGTAGGTACACGGAACGTCCGGACAATGTGGGAGACCGGGAAGACCAGTCAAATAGCAACGGAAATGAGGAGACACAACTTGACAGTGCTTGGAATCAGCGAAACCTACTGGACCCAAGCTGGACAACAAAGGCTAAATACGGGAGATATGCTGCTATACTCTGGTCACGAAGAGGAAAATGCCCCACACACGCAGGGAGTTGCTCTAATGCTGTCCAAAGTAGCACAAAATGCACTTGTAGGATGGGAATCTCACGGATCCAAAATCATCAAAGCATCATTCGAAACATAGAAGGAGGGGATCACAATGAACATTATCCAATGTAATGCACCCACTAATGATAGCACCGACGACGTTAAAGATCAATTCTATGAGAGGCTGCAATCAATCATAGAGAAGTGCCCAAGAAACGACCTCACCATTCTGATGGGAGATCTAAACGCCAAAGTGGGAATAGACAACACCGGATATGAAGATATGGGACTGCACCCACTGGGAGAGAGGAACGAAAACGGAGAAAGATTTGTAAATCTATGTGCATTTAACAAATTGGCCGTAGGCGGCACAATATTTCCACACAAACGTATACACAAAGCTACATGGATCTCACCGGACCACTCCACAGAGAACCAGATAGATCATATTTGCATCAATAAAAAGTTCCGAAGGACAATGGGAGATGTGAGAACCAGGAGAGAAGCGGACATAGCTTCAGATCATCACCTGGTTGTGGCCAATTTAAAACTGAAGCTAAAGAAGAACTGGACAACTGGACAAACAGCGCTGCAAAGGTTCAATACAGCCTTCCTTCGAGATACCGACAAACTCAATGAATTCAAGATAGCTCTCAACAACAGGTTTCAAGCCCTACAGGATCTACTGAAGGAAGAAGAAACTACTATGGAGGATAACTGGAAAGGTATCAAAGAAGCATTAACTTCAACGTGTCAGGAGGTTCGGGGCCCCAAGAAGCATCATCACAAGGAATGGATTTCTATAGAAACACTGGACCGGATCAAAGAAAGGAAGAACAAAAAGACAGCAATTAACAACAGTCGAACAAGAGCAGAGAAAGTCCAAGCACAAGCTGAATACATAGAAGCAAACAAGCAAGTGACGAAGAGCATTAGAGCCGACAAGCAGAAGTACGTGGAAGAACTGGCAACGACGGCGGAGAAAGCTGCAAGAGAAGGAAATATGAAACAGATTTATGATACAACGAAGAAACTAGCAGGGATATATAGTAAACCAGAGAGACCAGTCAAAGACAAAGAAGGCAGGCCAATCACTGAGATTTAACAACAGCGGAACAGATGGGCAGAGTACTTCGAGGAACTCCTGAACAGGCCGGCTCCAATGAATCCACCGGACATCAAAGCAGCACAAACATATCTCCCTATAGATGTCAATCCACCAACTACCGAAGAAATCAGAATGGCCATCAGACAAATCAAGAGCGGGAAAGCAACAGGACCTGACAGTATACCAGCTGAAGCACTGAAGTCAGACATCGAAGTAACTACAAACATGCTTCATCTATTCAAGAAGGTTTGGGAGGAGGAACAAGTGCCGATGGACCGGAAGGAAGGACATCTCATCAAGATTCCAAAGAAAGGAGGTCTGAGCAAGTGTGAAAACTACAGAAGCAATACACTACTTTCAATACCAGGAAAAGTCTTTAACAGAGTGTTACTAAACAAGATGAAAGACACAGTAGACGCTCAACTTCGAGATCAACAAACTGAATTCCGTAAGGGCCGGTCATGCACAGACCAAATTGCGACACTACGGATCGTCGTCGAACAACCAATTGAGTGGGACTCGTCACTGTACATCAACTTCATTGATTATGAGAAGACATTTGACAGTGTAAATAGGAGAACGTTATGGTAACTTCTTCGACACTACGGAGTTCCTGAGAAGATTGTCAACATTATCCGGAACTCATACGACGGACTACAGTGCGAAGTAGTGCATGGAGGACAGCTGACAGATGCATTAAAAGTGAGAACCGGAGTAAGACAAGGTTGTCTACTCTCTCCCTTCCTGTTTCTCTTGGTGGTCGACTGGATTATGAAGACCTCGACATCTGAGGGAAAACACGGCATACAATGGACAGCTCAGAACCAATTAGACGATTTAGACTTCGCAGATAACCTAGCCCTTTTAGTGGCCCGTGATCTGACTCCAATTTGATCGCTGTGGAATTAAATATGCGCCTATCCTCGTATTTAATCATTGACTTAAATCGCATTAGTTAATAACGGAATTAAATAAGTCAAATAACGAGAATGGAGTTTCGAATACATATATTTTGTGTAATTGTTGATTAGACAGAACGAACGGAGAAACGATGCGAAGATTAGAAAGCGAAGCTAAATTGGCGCGCGGTGGAGATGACTGGTAAGCCAACTCTCCCTTTAACAAAGAGTTAATCAATATTTATAAGCCCACAAAAATAAATTACAGACATGTGATGAGTAACGGGATAAGAAGTGTACATACGCCTACGCGCTCATACAAAGACAGTCAAGACATTGATAAGCGAATAATTAACAAGGTCAGAATGTGACTCAAATAGAATGAGCTGTCCGAAAGTTAGAATAATAAGGTATTTGGGCTTAACATAATGACAGACACTACACCCTCCTATCGCATACACACGAACAAATGCAGATAAAGACAGACAGTGTAGCAGCAGTCTCTGCATCATTAGGCCTCAAAATACACAAAGGGAAAACCAAGGTCCTCGAACACAACACGGAGAACAGCAGTCCAATCACTCTTGGTGGCAGAACTCTGGAAGATGTGGAATCCTTCACATACCTGGGAAGCATCGTGGACAAACAAGGAGGTTCAGATGCAGACGTAAAGTCGAGGATTGGCAAAGCAAGGGTCGCATTCCTTCAATTAAAGAACATATGGAACTCAAAACAACTTTCAACCAACATCAAAGTCAGAATCTTCAATACGAACCTCAAGGCAGTTCTACTGTACGGAGCTGAAACTTGGAGAACTACAACAACCATCATCAAGAAGGTACAAGTATTTATCAATAGCTGTCTACTCAAGATACTCAACATCCATTGGCCGGATACCATCAGCAACAGTCTTTTGTGGGAGAGAATCAACCAGCTCTCAGCAGAAGAAGAAATTAGGAAAAGACGATGGAAATGGATAGGACATACATTGAGGAAATCATCAAACTGCATTACGAGACAAGCGCTAACTTGAAATCCAAAAGGGAAGAGGAAAAGAGGAAGGTCAAAGAACAAATTACGTCGGTAAATAGAAGTGGATATGAAAGGGATGAATAAGAACTGGAAAGAGCTGGAAAGGATTACCCAGGACAGGGTTGGATGGAGAATGCTGGTGAGTGACCTATGCTCCTTCACGAGGAGTAACAGGCGAAAGTAAGTAATTCT